GGTGATGTACTTCTTAAGAAAAAGATTATGAGATTGTGGAAATACGCGCAAAACTCCAAGGTAGCAATAATGAAAAGGGTATATATTACATGAGATCAGGAAGCAATTGGAAACCATTGCTGAAAGAAAGCTTTAGTGAGGCTTGACCTACGTGCAGGACAGAAACTCAAACATGGATTGAGCTTCAGTGTTTACTATTTTGTTTAGAAGTTTGGATGAGACAGCAAGAGATCTTTCCTAAGCCTATTTTCAAATTTAATATTACTGGGTTTTTTTTTTTATTGCTGGTTTTTTGATTGGCTGAAAAACTAAGCCTTCCTTTTCCAATTATAATTTAAAATGACACTCTTTTTTACCCCTCTCTCATGCATCTTTGTTTACTTTTTAGACCTGGATCTGCTAAGTTAGGTGTGGTTAACCATGCATCTTTCAGGGCAAAACACATTTACAAAGAGAATTTGCTTTTTTGCAGTCTTCCCAAAGTGAATTAAGGTAATTTTTATCCTTTTATGGATATCCAATGCCTCAAACCACAGAGGTTGTTTTGCAAAACAAGCCCTTTACTTATCTGTGAAATAAATAAATGTACCTTTCTGGTCACAGTTGTCAACCTTCCTGTGTTTTCGGGGGGCTCCCCAACCTTGCTGAGGACACTCATAGGCACTGGAGGTTTGTTTTTCTCTGTCCTCTCTGACCTTTCAGACAGACCTTCTAGGCAGGGCCAAGGAACAAAATAGATATTCCTCATGCTTTATGACCACCAAAAGAAGCCTGTTTAATAAACACAATCCATGTTTCCTACCACAGGGTTTCAGTTAAATCTACAGTCATACCAAGTAAGCCAGTAGTTTTTGGTTTTTGTACACAATTATAGATACTAGTAGAGAGACTGACAAATGTCATTTTAGTGGAGCTTTAGTTTTACTTAAAATTTTTTATCAGAGAAATACACACGTGTACTTTTCGAAACTAAAACCATACTTTAAGGCTTCTAATAGAAATACCTTTCTTGCTTTAGTATTCAACTTCAAAAGCAGAATTTTCAACACTTGATTTGTTTATAAACATGCCCAAATCCGCTCACTCTATTTACTTCCTAGTTTTAAGGATCAAGAATAAATGATTTTCCCTTATGAAAAATGTAGGTCATACCATGACATCCCAGATACATGTTCCTCTTCCAAACTTCTCATTGTAGTCATAGTACATTTTGCAGTCAAATCAGTGTTTAATGCTATTGTTACAACTGTGCGTATCACTCAAGGCTGAACTACGCCATGTTTTGTAACTTCCTTTTCTGGTATTAATTTTGTTTTTCTGGGCCTTTGAAATAGACCTGCACTGTTTTCCTTCTTTAGTTTAATATGTGCCTATCACTCACTCACCCTGAGGCTTCCTGACTGCTGTTAAACTCTTGGACAATCAAGCATATTAGATGAACTTTCAACACTACTTTTCTGGCTGTCTACCACCCTCTTCAGGATGGCTGCATTGCTGTGGTCAGGGAAGTTTCTTGGCTCCTCTGTGTACCTTTATCCTTTCTCTTTTTAAATCAGCCCTTTATGGTTGGGATTTCAGCTTTCCTCTTTTTCATTTACTTTTACATTTTAAAGAAGCAAATGGTTGACTGGCTTCTTGTAAAGGGGCACTTAAGAAGTAAATACCCTGAGGGGTTGCATGTCAAAAAGTCCCTCAGTCCCTAAGGCTTGATTTTGGCATAGCAAGGTACAGAAATAAAGGTTGGAAACCACTTTCCCTGATAAGATTGTAGATAGTGCTCCCCCCTGGCACGTAGCTCATGGTGCTGTTGAGATGTGTGATGAAATCTTATCCTGATTTTGATCCTTGTAAAGAGATCTGATTTTTGTCTCTTGGATTTTTAAGGTCTCTTTCTTATCTCTAGTTTTGTGACAATGGACATTGATTTGCTTCTTTCCTCATTTCTTGTGGTAGGGCATTAATGCATCCTCTCAGTTTGAAAATGTGTCCTTTCATTCCAAAATATTTTATTGTTTTTAAATAATATTGTCCCCACTGTTTTTTAAAATCTCTTCCTTGTTTGTAGGACTTTTAAAATATGCCTCTTTGATTCTATCTTTTCAATTCTGTTTTTCATCATTTGTTTTTCCTTCTAGTTTCTGAAATTTTTTTCTCAAATTCTGTGATTCTTCTGGTATTCTTGATATTATTATATATTTTAATACTCGAGTTTGTCTTAATTACCTGTCACGTGGCTGAGACAATATACCCGACACCCAAATTTAAAGGAGGAAAGGTTTATTGTAACTCACAGTTTGTAGTGATTTCATTTCCTATTTGCCTTGCCCCCAGGCAGGGTGGCATGGCAGGGGGTTGTCACAAAAGAGAAACAGTTCCTAGAAAAGCAGGGTAGGCAGAAGGCCACAAGCAGCAAACAATAAGCAGCAGATCATTTTTGCCCCTTTTTAAAAATATTGTATGACTCAGCAAGGGTGGGGCATCCTTAATCCTACCCAGAATTATGCCAAAATAATCAGTGGGCTAGTTTAGTAGTCACACCCCTTTATCAAACATTATCAGTCACACCCAGTATCATGCATTTTAGATCCAGCCACCTCTGAAAAAGCTCCACCTATAATCCCAGGAGGCTTAGTGGGCTATCTAGACAGACAACACAGCAGGATTGTTTTCTATTATCATTGTTGCTTTCAAACAGCATCCCCCCCTCCCCCCCGTGAGTGCATAATCTACCATTGTCTCTGAACGTTTTACTTCCAAATATTTTTCCTGTTGCTCGGTGAATGTCACCTAGTGTATGGGATAATCTTCAAGAACTCAGCAGCCAGTTCAGTTGCTAGTATTGCTCTTGACTGTTTGCGTAACTGCTGATCACTGCTCTGTTTTTTTCTATCTTTCTTTCTTTTTTCCTCAGTAAAATGATGATGGTAAGGGTCCTGATTTTGCAGGGAAGTACAGTGAAATTAATATGTACTAAGTATTTAGAACAACACCTGAAAGAATAACCTGATGGAATGTTGTTCCCTTTTCTCTTTGTTATTTTGTTTCAGTCTTTGCTCAAATTCCTGGTGTTCCTTAAAATCGTGTTCCTACTTAAGAATGAGCAGTTGATTGGAGGCTTTCAGTGTGCCTTTGGACTCTTGAGCTGCCATGTGAGAAATCTTAACAGCTAGAAGGTGCAGGGCTGCGGAGAGCACACAATGATGGAGCGAGGTGCTCAGTGGCACCAGATGTCACCATCACTGTTTACAGCCACGTGAGCCACCCAAAGTGAGAACCATCTTGCTGAGTCCAGTGAACCCTAAACCATCAGAAGTTTAATAATGGCAAACGAAGTTTAATAATAGCAAATAGCTAAATAGCAAAATGTTGATTTATGCTACTAAATCATGCAACAATAGTTGAAAATGTAGAACATAGTAGCCCTAGAAGGAGCCCTACAAGGACCTATCAGATCTTGTGACTTGTAAGTTTCAAAAAAGTCTCTGGATCTCTATACTCATCAAGTCCACTAGATAACATTTTCATTATATTCTCTATTGACATTTAAAAATGTTTGTTTCTCTTTGTAGTTCAAAACATGTTATAGAATCACAGCTGGAGGAGGAGTAGAATATAGAAAAAGCTAATCAAGGGATTAGCAATCTCTTGTGTTCCAAATATTAAGGTAACACATAACTATAAGCCACCTACCTACACAGTATAATTGTTCCCCGATTAACAGCAGTCTTTTTCTCTTTGCAATTTATCATTCCCTTACTTACCTGAATTCATTTCTGCGGCAGAAACAGAATTTCAGGAAAGACACTCCTAACAAACTCAGAAGGGAAAACAAAGTGACACAAGGTCTCCATAGAAACTTGTAGAGACGCTAAAACAGTCCTTTGAAAAGAGATGCCCACAAATATTAAGTCACGACTTCAGAAGCAGATAATTCAGCATTAAATAATGTGTAACACTGTATTTGCTTAAACTGTGGCACAGCTATTTATTATACATTTATTATACTGTAAGGAGAGATTTTGCATTTGAAAGTCATGACTGAGAACTTATGTCTCACTGATTTTATGTCAATAGACCTTGTTTACATTTCACTGCTTACTTTATTTCCACCACTTAAAATGACATTAGACTTCAATCAAAGAAGTCATTGCTACAAGAAAGTGAAAAAGCGGAAAGTAGTCAAGGAGATCTCCCAGGAGAGAAGGTAACTAAGCATCCAAATTGAAACATTTAAGTTTAAACAGCTGTAAACCATATAATTAGCCATTCATAATGTAACTGTCACTTTCAGCATTCTCACAGCAAATTTAACTCTGCATCTATCTGAAATATTTCAAAACTCAAGTTTGCGATAATTATCACATTAGGTTAGCAGGGGAAATTTTTTTTACTAAGTTACAGTGAACAATGGGAAGCACTGCATTGCATGGTAGATTCTGACTGATAGTTAATGTTATTTACTGATATTTATTGAAGCCACTGTTAGCACCATTCACGGGCTGAACTTTAATCATAAGCCATCAAGCGCTGTGAAAAATGTGCAGACTAGAAAAATCTATCTTTTAAATGATTTATACTTAAGTAAAAGATTTATACCTTTTAAAGTCATATACTAGAGGCTTAGTGGTGGAGATCTTGCCTTGCATCAGAAGGGCTTGGGTTTGATCCTCAGCCCCCAACCCCACAAAAAAGATTATGTACTGTGCTAAGAGTAAGGCACCCAGTATTTTACTAGGCTGCTTCCATGTGGAGCAGACATTGAGCATGGAAGAGGTACGTACAGTGCTAAACTGTGGAATAAAACAATGCTTCTGAACCTTAAAAACATGCAGCCGAGCAGCAAGGCCTGAGGCACAGCATTCTGGGAGGTTGAAGCAGGAGGGTTGCAAGTTCAAAGACCAGGCTGGAGAGTGTAGAGATTTAGTGAGACTCTGTCTCAAAAAAATTTTTTGAGGTCTGAGGATATGGCTCAGCGCTAAGAGTTTGCATTCAATTTCTAGAATTGGAACAAAAATCAAAACAACAACAATAACAACAACAACAACAGCAAAAACAGACTCACATAGAAGACTGGACGAGAAACAGACTTCTGGAAACAGACTTGCCAGCATTTGATCCGGTAAGTATGGAATACAGCCTGAGAATTAATATTTCAAACAAGGGCCTTGGTGATGCTGATGTTGCTGGCATGTGTACCACACTTTGAGAACCACTAGAGTAGTGCCCTAATCATCACTATGGGGACCTTAAATGCTGAGCAATTGTGTGGTACAATGTGTACACGTGTAAACAGCAAAACCAGCAGTTTTAGAAGGAATCACTCGCACTCTCTGATTACTTGCATGTGTACATGAAAAATACGATAAAATAAAATATTATAAAATAAAACAAGATTTTGAAGATTTAAAAAAAACCTAAAGTCAGACTGGCTCTCTGGGAACAAGGTAATAGTGGTCTTCATAGAGAAAGCACTGTTGTTAAGTCCCATCTCACATTATTTCCCTCAGATGCTGTAAGAAAGTTAGGTGAGTCCATATCTACTCCTCTCTATTTGAGGAAACTGGTGCATTGAAAGGCTAGAAATAGAGTAAACAACTCTACCAGTTTGCTTAAGAATCAGAGGTCTCCTAAATCATGAGAGTTTTGCTGCTAAGGGGAGTCCTAGAGAAATAATGATAGTTGAGCCTCTTGCATAGCAGGAAGACTCGTTAATACTGATCATGGAAAGGCGTTCCTAGAACTACTGTCCTAAAAGCTGGGAATACTCCTTGGCTACAAGTGATCCGTTCTGTGGCATATTATGGGGTTTTAAAGTGCTGATAGATACACACTCCCTGCTGGACCTCCCTAGATCTGAGAACTGCTTACTCTGTGCAATCTGCTAAACAACCAAAATTCAAACATGTCACCATTCCTCCAGGCCTCATGAGATTTAAGAGGCAGCCTTCACTTTTATCCAATAAAATAGCCTACATTTATATAGAGGAAGGTGAAGCTTGAGGAGACTTGCTTAAATAAGATTCCTTTTGACTTGCCTTGTTTAAATCAATTTATGAATAAAAGGAAAAGACTGTTTATTCTATAATTTGAAGTTCTTAATACCTGTTTTAGGTTCAAATGGTAAGCACTCAAGATTTTTAGCACTCTTTCAAAAAGAAAGAAACAGTGTTTCAAATTGGTGGTTGGTACTTGTGGATTGGTAACTGGTGGTCAATTTAAACACCAGCTGAACTGAATCAACATGGTGCCAAGCATGGATGTCCCAGATGAGGAGTGTTACCAGCATAAAAAGGAGATTTGGAGAAGAAGAGTAGTGTTGTGGGCTCTTTGAAATGTTATTTGGAGCTATTGGTTCTCCTGGAGGAGCTTGTCATGCTGGTTCCCCTAATATGAACTTAGCTGTTATCATCGGAGTAGCTCAGAACCTTGTTGCTGAGAATGATTGTGGATCACTTTGGGGGAGCTCTTGTCCTTACTTTGAGCATTGCTTCCTGGCTTCGGAGGGGAAGGGGAAGCTGTTTAATCTCTAGGAGAAGTTTACCCTGATTTGTACTTGGCTGTTCTCATTGTCAGAGGAGCTCATTGTCACTGAGGATGGCTGTGGTACTTTTCATGGGATCACTGGTCCTTATTTTGAGGGTTGCTTTTTGGCTTTAATGCAGAATCCTTGGCCTGCTGGCACAGATACTTCACACCATCAGCACAAACTTTCTAGCTTCCACTGCTGACCTTTGGGCCTTCCTAGCACTGACCTGTGGGATAGACTTGCATGGGTCATCATCATGGGCTCTGGTTGTCAGCTGAATTCATGTAAGTTATTGCCATGGGATCCAGGTCTTGGCTGGATTTTCCAGGTCTTTAGTGTTGTGGACAGATTTCCTGTACTTTCTTTATATTTGACTCCTTGGATGCCATTATAAATAATACTGTAAATTATGTGTCCTGTATGTAATTATTCTCCTTGTATCCTCTGACTATAGCAGGACTGAATGATAAAAATACACAATGTACTTTTTTGCTCTATTGTTTTAACAGTTAATTCAGTAACAAAAGAAAACCAATGGGATGCTTATGGTGCAGAAGATATATAAAACATTGATTAGTATACTGGAAGCCTATGAGATATTTTCAGTAGAAATAAGTAGAGCATGTGTGTGAATACAGATAGGAAGGAATGGAAGGACCAACTGCTTATGATGTGCTATGTATACAAGTGACACTAAAGAGTCACATCATACAAAGTGCATAATACACTGTGGTAAGTACTCAGAAGATCTCAGAAGGTAAATGGGCTCAGGGCAAGGAGTCACTGTGAGCTGATACATGGAAATAGAGGTCAAAAAGGAAGCACAGATTAGAAGAGTACCCAAAGTGAAACTGAAGTGGCGCACAGACTGCTGAGACAATATGTAAGACAGTAGATGGGCTTTAATTTGCTTAAACTGAAAAGAAGTCAGAGCATGCATTCATATCCTCTGTAATGTCAGGTACAGCTTGGGACATAGAATGCATATAGATTTAGATTTATCAAATTAAAAGGTATTAGTATTTATAATTTTATTTCTGTGTCATCATAGATACCATTACTAAGACATCTAAGTGATTTTATTTTAATGCCAATACTGTGATTAAAATCAGGTTAAATCTTCACTATCATCTACTCAATAGCAAATATCATTTCTATCATTATCGTCATCATTTCTATCTTAATGATTTAAACAATATGCTTTGTACTAAGTACTAAATAATATCTTACTTAATATGTAGCATTATAAGACAGGTATATTTAAATTAATTTTGACTGAAAAGAAGACTCTGAGAGTTTAAATTTATACAATCAACAAGTGCACAAGGTGTTATAAAAAGTCTCCAGAGCTTTTTGGTAAATTACATTCTGTTGAAGGATAACATAGCAATTAGATTCTAATTAATGTTAAATTTAAATGCAGCTTAAATTAATAAAAGTTTCCACAAACTTTGATAGTATGGGTGTTATTCTAAGTACTTTCTGTGATTATACAACACTTTTATGTCTCTTAGTAGCCAGAGCAGAGTAAAGTCTTAGTTTCAACACTGCCCCAAATAGTCCAGTAGGCAGAAGTTTTCCTTGATATTATAGATTTCTGGGTGCAGACCTAGCTACCACCAAGGCCATATTTTGCATCTTATTTAGTGTGTTTATAATTTTTGCATTCTTCCCCATCAATATAAAAAGCTGAAGTGATGTAGTTAAAATTTAAACTTATTTATAGAGTAATTTATATTATTTATTGTTAGGACTTTACACATTAAATCAAAAGCATATATGCTACCAATGGCGAAATTTTAATCACTGACAAATATGGTAGGTGACATTTAGTGGCTTTCTTCCTTTTAGCACAAGGAAAGGAGAAAGGATAAGATATGGGACATGTTTTATAGAGTGGTCGGGGGGAAAGCAAGTCTTTTGTCATAGGAACTCGCTTTATTTATGATATTGATTTCAATTATATTGTTGAAAAATTGTTAAAGGATGTGGGTTCTCATAAGCGCTAAGATAGAAGGCGAATCATCTTAGTTTTTATTTATGTACTTATATTTTATGCACATTCACTGCTGTTAACATTGTATGCATATGTTACAAATTTACTGCTAAAAATATTAAGTATATATGAGGACAATTTTTGGAATCATTAGGTAGGATCTATATGTCAAGGCAAGAACCAATAGTATGGGAAATGGAGGGGTTGATCTCATGGTTTACTAGGAGAGACGTGATTACTGAAGGATGTGCTGCACATCGCACAGCCACATTGAGTAGTTAAAGCATTTGATGCCACACAAGATTAGTAGTTTTAAGCCTATTTTTACACTTCTCCTCCAAATGCCAAGAAAAATATCCGTATTATTCTCTCACTGGGAAAGCACCCAAAGAAATGCTCTAACTCATAGAAAATCCTTCTTTCCCAACCTGAGGAGAATAATCTAAGAGTACGTTTGTCACTACTTTCTGTTTTCTCTTTCATTTTTTGGTCAGAGGAAATTGAGAAGTACTAAAGACATTTTGCATTTTCACTGCTGTGGGATAAAATTACCTGCAGTGGAGTGGAGTAACGCTAATGAATAACGGCTTTAGAATTCACTCCCATGCAGTTGGTACTCTATATTCCTAGTTAGAACATGTACTTTTTTCATTCTCTAAATAATATGGCATAAAGGCTACTTATGTACTATTTATATTGTACTAGAAATTATAGGTAATCTTGAGATGATTTTAAAGTAAAGAAAAAGATATGTGTAAGCCATACACATGCACTACTCATTTTGGTGTCCCAGGAGTACGAGGACAATCTCTCCTTAGATACTCTGTATGTGAATACCATTCCAGTTGGTTATTCTTTTTAAGACTGACCTGAAATAAAGCAAATCTTTAGCAAATGAAGCGTGAATTCACTCATTCCTTTACTCTTTCATCAAGATTTTCTTCCTGTCTCCTAGCTAGTGCAGCACTTCTCTGTCTTGTTGAATTTTGAAAAGAAAAAATGAATATAAATCCACCAGTGATCATCCTGTGACTGATGCTGAGAAGCTGGAAGATTTAAGTGAAGGTTGATTTCATTTTTATATCCTGCTAATATTTTCAGAAGCCTGTGTTGCTTCTTCCTAATTGAATTGCCCAGCAAAGTTACAGAAAGTTAATTGTGACAGGATAGTGAATTTAGTACTTAAATCTCAAGAAGAAATAACCAGAGTTAGATAACTGTGGTTCGCCCGATGAATGCAGTAAAAAGCCAAGGTCTCCAAGGATTCAGTCATTCTCTGACCTTTACTTTCCTTGGGTTTCGTGTATACATTTAAAAAACCAAAACTCCTTTCACAAAGAACCTGATCATTGCATATGAGATAATACATCCAAAATTGCTAAGTCAGGTACTTGAACTGAGGACTTTGTGGTTCAAGGTGCAAGGGATCTAAAGTGCCCTCTGCGAGGCAGACAAAATCTTTACCAGTTCAAGGGGAGATTATTCCACTGCTCCCTGGATACCTGACCTCAAGGCACATAGAGAAATACATATGGAGAAATGATACCATGATAGTAAAGGCAGAGAATTTTCATTCTGGAGTCATGACCCGGGGAGT